TAATAACAGAAAAACCAATATGAAGATGGATTGATTTCAGAAAACTAATAACCTGATGTTTGCAAGACTACAAAATTAATAATGATGGATAAAAGGCTGTGTTTTTTTAATTGTTCAAACTTTATATACCATTATCTATACATGGCCCTCTTGAACTCAAATCTTAGATCCACCACTGCCAACCTAACATCTATTCTCTACCAGACAAGAACAGCGAATCCAGCTACTTAATTCATACAAGCATAAAGGAATCATCACATTGGAAAACAATCATGCCTTCACGTATGTAGCTATTTACATTTGACAAGGGCAATAACAATTTGTAATTTGGAACAACTGAAAAACCTTCTTTGTTAAGGGCCGCTTGGGGGGCTTGTAACTCTTCTGGGAAAGGAGAATAATTATAACCACCAAAAGAAGAACCTCCACAAATAAATGTCCTTCAAGAAAGAGGAAGAAATGAATAATTCACCTAACAATTGAAACATAGAAAACAGATGTAAACCAAGTTCTTTGAGCTAAAATGATACCTCCAATGTGCACACCAAATATAACTGCCCGAGCAGAGGGAGCATCAAGAATCAAGGTTATCCAGTCTAATGTAGATTTCACTACACTTGAAAACATCGATTCCATTACTATCCCCACCTGAATCTAGTTTAACACTAAAAGCTTGAACATCAATTGGACGCATACACTTGCTTCATGCTTAGCCCAAATATCACAATTCACAACCCTGCATTGTCCATTTTCCTTGTTAACATCATTAAAAAAAGTTAAAGTGAACCCTGTTAGTAAAGCACTCAGATACTTAAAAGGTGAAAATCAAAGGTTTACTTGGTCCGGAGAAATGGGCCAAGGAATGAAAAACCCCATTTCTCAGAAATCAAAAACCGAAAATTCTGCATGGTATCGTACTGAAGCAATCAATCGCATGTCAATAATTTTCAAAGTGAATCGAGTAACATGAAGATTAAGATGGGTAATGGATCTAAAACCAGAGTGACCCTAGGCTAGCACCGAATCAGCTCAAATCTTACACCGCCGTCCACACATCATGGAGATATCCGAGGAAATAGAAACCGAACAAGATCAAGGAGAAAAAAAAAACAATGAAATTACCAGATAATTTTGGAGAAAAGAGAAACATAGAGCCACGATTGACGATGCCGAGATGTGGAATTTTCTCTCGTCGAAGATTTGGAGAATGTGTCAAATCTGGAGAGTGCACGTAATTAAAATATGCAAAATTAATTTATTTATTCTTTAATCCCCGTAACCTTTACCTTCTTTATTCTAATCGTCCAACTTCAAAATAATAATAATAATAATTAATAAATTTGATATCTATTTATTATCTGTTCAAATTAATTTTGATTAAAATTTTAAATTTCAAAACTATATATATATATATATATATATATAACTCTCAAATCTATGCCATTTTATCTTAAAATCAAACACAAATTTTTATAATTTTTAAAAAATAAATATTAAATCTGATGGCATCTCAACAATCTCGAAGGCACGGTGTTTTTTTGTAGTAGGATTTTTAGATATAACAACGTCTCAACGATAAAAAGATTAATACTTTATAGCATTAGGTTGATTTGATATTTTTTAATTAACATGAAAATATTCGATTAAATTTGAAATATTTAAATATATAAAAGGTATATTTTTTTTTAGATTTTTTTTTAATTATTGTCAACCGAGTGTGGACAAATGTTGTTATTAACCACAATTTGTAGATTCCATAGGTTTAAGCTAGTAAAAAAAATGGTTTTTAATAATTATAATTAATTACTCAATTAATTATTTAATCACACAATTAATTGATTTTAATTAAATATATAATTAATAATAATGAACTATAATTAATTAAATCATCTATTGTCTTAATTATTTTAAATGTTACTATAAATTCTTTTTTTTTTATTGTTTTAGCCATAATATTGATCCATAAGATTTTCTCATTTAAAATAATTTACTACATTGGTATTTGATTTTTTAAAATTTAACATGTATAATTAATTCTTCACTTTATTTTTACTTAAAAAGTTCATGTAATTTTATTATAGTTTTATTAGAATTATTTGAGATTGTTATTAAGATTAATTTTTAAACAAATTTAAAATTCTAAAATTAAGTAAATTAATAAAATTGTTAAAAGTATTTATTGGAATCAAATAAAAATATTATTTATTTATATGAAATTATAATATCATTTTGAGACAGGTTAGTTTCAAACTCACAATTTTTTTAAAAATCAAAACGACTCATAAATAATAATAATAAAAGAAACTTAGATAATTTTTTAATTTGAGTAGTGTCTAATGTTTTTTTTTTTTTTTTACCTAATTCAATTAAATAATATATTTTAGCATCTAATACATCAAAAAAAAGTTTTATTATTATTATTATTTTATTTAAATATAATTCAAATATCACAAATCTCTTAATATATATTAAATTTATTTGAATTTCAAACTCAAATTTCCTGTTATTAAAATGTAGGATAATAGAAAGCACTTTCTTCGCTAATTTAAAATTAAAAAAATATAATTATTGAATACATCTAATATACACGAGTGCATTTAGTATTTGATACATCAAATAAAATAAATTTATTTCTTTACTATATTTAATATATTAAATATTAACTTGAACCTTCGAATTAAATATATTTTTCTTCTATTAAATATTGATTTAATATATTTAATATAATGAATATTAATTTTACCTTTCAAATTAAATATATATGCATCATTTATCTTTAATATAATAAAATATATTAAATATTAATTTAAACTTTTCAAAATGAACCATTTGTTTATGAATCCGCGTAAACGAAATCTATTAGGTCTATGAGAGGTAGAGCCCCGTTGTTCAAAGTCTCAAAGTCATCACTTTAAGTGAACTAACCCCGAGGGATGAGTTAATTTCATCCCCTAAAGTTATCTTTTCAGCTCCAATTTAATCCAGTTTCAAAAAATAGTAAACTTATAATTATTTAAAGATATTTTGCATCTTCAAAGTCTCCTAATCTTTAAAGTCTTGATTAAAGGAGTGTTTTTCAATAGCACAAGCCCACCACTAGTATATATTGTGTTATTAGTACTTTTCCTTAACTTTGGCTTAAAGCTTTAAAATACTTCTGGTAGAAGGAGGGGAACAAAATATTGTTTACAAGGGTGTGAAAACCTTTCACTAGCAGACACGTTTTAAAACCGTGAGGCTGACGGTAATACATAACAGGCCTAAGCATACAATATTGGCTAGCGGTGGGTTTGGGTTGTTGCAAACGGTATCAGAGCCAAACACCGGGCTGTGTACCAGCGAGAACGCTGGTGTCACAATCACACTTTTGATGGCAACGGACTTGCGATTGTGCGGCACTCACTTTCCAATGACAAGTGAGCTAAGCCAATTCGTTCTTGCGTCGCCTACAGCCAAGCGACGTATGCTCGAGCCTCTGGCCTCGGTTTTAAGAGAAGGTTTTAGAAAACAAGGGCAGAGAGAGATTTTCGAAAGAGAGATTTTTGAAAGAGAGGTTATATAAGCAAGCAAAAGAGAAATAACAACAGCTTACAGTATATAACCTTGGTAGGGAGAAGTTAACAACTAGTCTCCTATAGTACATTCGGAGTCATTTCATGTCTGACAGACCTAAACATGATATTTTTGAAACGTCATACTTTCTAGAAATATAAAAGTAAAATACTAGAATATGAAAAGACATAAAGGGTTGGGTTTGTCATGGGCATGCGACCATAGACAACATGCTTTGGACGAGCATGACCGTGACATCCAAACACCGGGCAGTATACCAGCGAGGACGCTGACCCCCAACGGGGTGGATTGTGAGATCTCACATCAGTTGGAAAGGGAACGAAACATTCCTTATAAGGACGTGGAAACCTCTCCCTAGCAGACGGGTTTAAAAACCGTAAGGCTGACAACAATACGTAACGAACCAAAACAGAAAATATCGGTGGTAGTGGGTTTGAGCTTTTATATGTTCAATCTTCAAGAACTTAAAGTTTCCTGTCTTTTTGAGTTCGAAGTTTATTAGCTTTAAGTCAAACAGTCTAGTCTTTCGAGTTTGTTTTATCTTGTACATTGCCATAGGATCCAATTTGATAAGCCTAGACTTACAAAGAGGATCGGATATTATTATAGGCAAAAAGAAAGAACGAGAATTATATCAAATCATTAAACGCGTCTGAGAGGTTAAGGTCTTTCAAGGGCCGCATACGAACGAGGCGAAGGAGGAACCATATCATGAACCGAAGCAACCGCAGCCATGGTGGGGAGCTTACAAGGAACATAGTTGAACGTGTTGGCTCGTGGGCAGCTCCGTGGTTTACAGAAGAAAGTGGCGCATTCGGCTGCGGTTTTTTGGCACCGGAAGCCCGGAAGGCAGTTTCCTTGGACGTGGAGCCTTTGAGCTGTGATTAACTTCCGGCACTGTGGGCCGACTCGGGTGAAATAGTTGTTGCTTAGAGTTATGTTGTAGACGTGTGGGAGGCTGCAGAGGGACTCTGGAATGGCTCCGTACAAGTGGTTGTTGGCTAAGTTAAGGATTTGCAAACTGAATAGGCAGCCTAAGGACTTGGGTATTGGACCTGTTATGATGTTTGAGCTGGCGTCCAACACTGTGGCTTTTAGTAAATAGCCTATCTCGAACGGCAGACAACCGGAGAGGCTGTTTTTTAAGAATAGTACCTCGCGTAGAGTCCTCCACGCCCTCCCGATTGTCGGTGGGATCGGACCTGCACGTAAGAATAAAACATCATTTACATTAAACCAACCCATAAGCTTGAAATTTGGTTAGAAACTACGAACTTCTGCAATTGTATGATATTGTCTACTTTGAGCATAAGCTCTCGTGGCTTTTCTTTTGGTTTCTCTAAAAAATCACATACCAACAAAGATGTATTTCTTACTTATAACCCCATTAGCCAATGTGTAACTCCCTCCCAACATTCTTCCACTCGAACAAAGTACACCATAGAGGTTCCCTGAGACCTATGGAGCCCTTGAACAGTCTCCTGACTCTTTTTCTTGAGTCCTCGAACAAAGTACACTATTTGATTTGTTCGACACTTGAGTCACTTTTGACTATACTTTCGAGACTCACACCTTCTTTGTTCGACACTTGAGTATTCTATTGACATGATATTGTTATGAATCAGGGACCTCCACAGTGGCATGATATTGTCCACTTTGAGTATAAGCTCTCGTGGTTTTGCTTTTGGTTTCCCAAAAACCCTCATATCAATAGGGATGTATTCCTTCCTTACTTATAAACCTATGATCATCGGTTTAATCAGCCAATGTCGTACTCCCTCCCAACAACCCTCTCTTCAATTTAAAGCATGTTCCTATTGACCTCAATCCCAAATATCAAAAGAGCCAGATCTATTGAGAATTGTGGATTGTTGGGAGGGAGTTCCACGTTAGCTAATTTAGAGAATGATCATGTGTTTACAAATTAAGAACACTATCTCCATGAGACCTTTTAGAATATCCCAAAGCAAACCCAGAAGAATTTATGCTTAAAATGGACAAAATCATACCATTTGGTCATGAATTTCTTATTATTGTTAAAAATTAAGTAGGGATGGAGGACCTGTAAACTTGTTGGCAGCAAGTGTGACATAGAGCGCGGGCGTGTTACCGAACGTGGCTGCGGGGATCGTCCCAGTGAACCCATTGTTGTTAATAAACAGCACATCAGTGTCAATATTAAACAACCGATCCGGCACCGAACCATTATAACCATTGAAACGAAGGTCCACAAACGACAATTTATTGGCTCCAAGAACAGACCCAGGGAACCCACCAAGGAACTTATTGTTACTCAAATCAAGCTCATACAAGAACCGCAACTTCTCAATATTCCGCTTGATAACGCCACTAAAGTTATTGGAATTAGCATGAAAGATAGCAATATCCGGCAGGTTACGTATGAAGCGGTAGAAGTTCAAGAACCGCCCACCAAATCTGGCCCCACTGAAGTCAATGGAGGACAGCCCAGTGATATTGAGGTCCGGAACGACGTCGCAGAAGAAGCCTTTGAAGAGGCAGTAATTGTCCCCGACCCATGTCTTGGTGTACCCAAATGGGTCGTACGTGATGTTGCTTTTGAGCTCTTGAGTTATGCGAAGGATTGTGGCTCGGTTGGCTAGAGGTCCCGGGTTGGTTTTGGGGCGGCGTGGCATTAGCTTAACGCACGGTGGGATCAGCGGCGGCCTTGGTCGGATCCGCGTTATTGTCGGGTTGGGTCGGGGCGGTCCAATTTGAGCTAATGAGAACTCAAAAATGAGGAAGAGGACGAACAACTTTGGCCACATTTTGATTTTGGTGAAAGAAAGATGGAGCTAATGTCATTTTATAATATGGTTTGTATAATTTTGGAGGGAAAATAAAAATAAAAATTATAAACTATACTCTATTTTATAATAAAGTGAAGATATTTGTGGGTAATTTTAATTTTTTTTATTACTTTATTTTATATAAAGAGAGGTGATGAGTAGCTAGATTCCTTGTAAATTTATTATTTAATTATATATATTATATAAATAAAGGTATTAATTTTATAATAATATTATGGAATAAAGCATAATCTGAATTATTGCTCCTCAATTATGAATATTCAAATAAATAAATAATCTTCTACTAACTTTTTTTTAAAAAAAATTTATTCATTTTTATTAATTACTTTAGAGTTAAATAGTTTTAATTATTTTCCATTTTCAAAAAAAAAAAAAAAAAGATATAATTAGTAGTTTTAAATTTTAATAAATACATTTTTCTCTTTAGAGTAATGGAAAAGAAGTCACAAATAAAGTGAATCCACCTATGAAATTTAATTAATACTTTAATAAATAATACATTAATCGATTATAAATTGACCAGGGAAAGGTTAATTAAAGTGAAGTCTATCAATAATTAATACTAAAAAAAATATTTATTTTATTCGGTTATATTTAGAGTTTTAAAATTGAGTTTTTTATGAAAAAATTAGAATGTGCAATAACAATTTCAAATCACAATATCTGACCGTCTCAGTTCTACCACGTGCTTATCTAAATAGAATCAAATCACAATATCTTAGTTTGTTCAGTGTCAAAGTCATGCTTGTCCAAGATGTGTTGTCCATAAATGTAAACTCTAAAAAAGTTGTTTATTCATATTTTCATTATATATGTATGAATATTTGCCACTTTTAACGTATAAGCCCGTTATAAGCAATTTGCTTGAAAACGAACCGTAACAAAAGAGGAGCTCTCTCAGTTCTTCTATTAATTTCGTCGAACGAGGATATTTTAGATTCCATATTTATATCTTGTACGAAGACGAACATCTTTGTATACCCTTAAAAGTGTTAGTAATTGGTCATATATTTCTAACAACAAAATCGAGGAATGCAAGGCGTGTGCCATTTACGAGGCTAACCATGTGAATTTAGGGTTCGATCCAAATTCCCATTTTCTCCTTTGCTAAGTGGTCCGTTTTTATTTATTTTTATATATTTATTTTCTTTACAATTTGAGTTTGTCCTTATGATCTAATTTCACTCGTAACATTTTCTACGAACATATTTACACAAATTTTAAAGTATAAACACACTTTTGACATTGTCACTTGCTACTAATAATGAGGTAAAATAAACTATAATATAATGTTTGAAATTTAATATTTAATATAAATAATGACTAAATATTTTTACTAATATAGGGACATATATTTGTAACGATATCCATGGTTTTATTCTATGAAAGAAAATAATTGGGCCCGATGGGCCCTGCTCGTGTAATTTTGGCCCATAATTTTTGGATATGAGGCCCATTATCAGATCGACGACATCTCGGCTAAATTTGGGAGCCAAGAAGAAAGCCGGCGGATTGATTTGGTGATAAAGTCTTCGTTTTGAAGCGAAGGACCGATTTGGCATCATCGCCTTCCTTCGTCAGCGTTGTGATCTCAAAAACGCCGGCGGAGATGGAGTTTTTTGGAATGGACTTCAGTTGTGTGTTCGGATCTCTAAGCGACGGCAAGTTCCCGGAGAAAAATTGCTTGCTACCCCTCATCTCTAAGCTCCTTGGCTATTGCATTGTCGCCGCTTCAACCACCGTCAAACTTCCTCAGGCAAGCTTTTCTCTCTTCCTTCCCTTGGCCGGAGTGTATTTGTTCGAATTTATCGAAGGAAATGTGATGGGATTAAGTTTTTTTATTTTTTAATCGCCAGCATCTGTAATCAATGTTCTTGGTTGTGATCTCTAGTTTCGGTCTGCCCTATATTTTGTGTTGTGCAATTTAAGACTCGCGTATTGTTTGTGAACAAATTTTCGGTTGTGTAAAATGGGGATTGGTCATAAATGATTATAGGTTGCATTAATCGAGTAACCAATGGGCATTTTTTACGTGATTGGGTAGTAATTTAGTTATCGTGCTAGGTTGTGACATGAGATTAGTCCAAGTAGGGTGTAGCTAAGAATCGAAACTTGTTCCAAGTTTAGCCATGTGCTACATTAATCCCTTGAACTTATATCAATAACCGTATAAAATTCCCCACCCTTGTTATGGAATCAAATTGTTTATTCATTAATTCTTCTCTTCCAGTTCAACGTTTCCGCCTGAATAGTTTTTACGACTTTAATATGTATCCTACGGTGAGAAATGTGGCTCCCTGTTCCATTTTCGTTTGTGGGTGCTTAACATTATGCCATCATTGTAATGCACAGTTTGTTTGTACAGATAATGAAGATTTTGAAACATCAGAGTGTCAGAGGACTTAGTGTTCTATCCTTTGAGCTAGAAGTCGTAGGTTACACGATTGCTCTGGCTTATTGTGTCCACAAAGGCCTTCCATTTTCAGCTTATGGGGAACTGGCATTTCTCTTGGTTCAAGGTATTGGAAACTACTAAAATCGGCCACTGTAAACTTTTTCTGGAAAAATCTTTCCTGAAATGCGTTACTGATAATAATTAAACATAAAAGTGGTCAAAATAGGAAGAAGTGAACTGTATTTGATTATTAGACTGATATTTTTATTATTCCTAACTTAATTTAAGGTTGCCAACTGATTGGGTAGATGATCGTTAGAATGAATTATTGAATACTACTTTTAATGTTAGTATATCGATGTTTTCTTACGTTCTGTACGTGGTGGTTATACATCTATGGGTGAGTTGATAGATAATGGTATAGATATAGCTTATTTTAGGAGGACACTTCACACCCTTGTGTACTAGCATACAGTAAAAGGTTTCTTGGAATCTATGACCAAACCTTTTGGTTTTTGGTTGCTTAAAATTATTCTTGTTTTCTCACAATTTCTTTATCATGATTTGAAGGAAACATTTGAAGTTTTTAGCTAAATTTCAAAAATAAAAACAGGTTTTTAAAAACTGTTTTTTTTAGTATTAAAAATTTGTTTTGAATTTTGAAAACATCCCAAAAAAGTATATAACGCCAAAGAATCCCATAGGTGGAATTGGTGTTTATAAACTTAATTGTCGAAAGGCAAAAAGCAAAAACCAAATGATTATGAAATGGGGTATACATTTTTGACAATTGATACGAGCTTCACCTACTGCACTATGTCAAGCAATGGCATACCATAGGGCATTCACGTTCTAGTTCATTTTCTAACTTTATTGCTTTTGATTAAGTTCAACCCAAGTGTAAAGGATAACTCTTATTGCTTCTAAATCAAATACAGACTTGCTGGCTCTTCCCATTCCTTACACTATTCTGTTACTCTTGGTTGTATAGATAAATCAGGTTCTTCACAATAAGGGTACAAAATGGAGTTCTGGTATAGCCAATCGTACTCTTAGTTCTTAATTTGCTCATTGTGCTAGGTTGCATTTCCAGAACCATTGGTTATATGCTCGCTTGAATTTTGTTTATTCAAATGCATTGATTTATTTATTTTATTTGCTATAAATCAAACCAATTTATCCTCTTTTAATGGACTTATTTTTTTTTTTTTTACTTTTCTTTTGCCACAGCTATAATTTTGGTTGCCGTTATGTACTATTACTCTCAGCCTATTGGTATGACAACGTGGTTCAAGGCATTACTGTATCCTATTTGTTTTTCACTAGTTCAGATTTTGCTTTTTTCCTGTTGCATGCTTTAATAATGAGAAACATGCTACTGTTATCCTCCTTTTTTTTTTTTTTTTTTTATTTTTTTTTTTTTATTT